AAACCCACAGACATTGTGAAATAGCAACTGTTTTTATTTTAGCTAAGTACAGTGGTACCCAATAATTCTAGCTATGGGAGAAATCAAGCAGGAAGGACTTGGAATTTGAAAGCAGCCTGGGACACACAGAAAATCCCATCTCAAAAAAAATTTTTTTTAAGATACTGTTTTATTATGTTAAATTTGGGGGTAATTCTAAGTTCTATATGAGGTATTTGTCTCAACTATATTTCAAAATAAACCTCAGGTTGATTAAAAGTTAAATATAAGTCAGGCATATTGGCTCATATTTTTAATCATAGGTCCTCAGGAGACATAGATCAGAAAGATAAAAGTTTAAAGACCAGCAAGGTAAGGTTAGGAAGACTCCTATCTCAGCCACCAAGTTGGATGTGGTAGTTCATAACCATATTACCAGCTATAAAAGAAACAAACATAGGAGACCAGCCCCAGAGAAAAATGCAAGACCCTATCTGGAAAATAACTAAGGCAAAAGAGCTGGAAATATGGCTCAAGTATAGAGTATGTACTTAGCTAGTGCAAGGCCCTGAGTTAAAAACCATACTAGTGACAGTCACAGAAAGACACACATACAGACAGACAGATACACACACACACACACAATCAAGTCATTTTTAAATTCCATGAAAAGTACTAAGGACACAGCTCAAATGGTAAATTAAAGGATCTGAATTCAATTCCCAATACTACAAAGAGCGAAAGAGCGAAAGGAAGGAAGGAAGGAAGGAAGAAAGAAAGACTTTAAAGCCAGGCGTCAGTAGCTTATGCCTAGTTACTCAGGAGCATGTGATTTGAGAATCACAGTACAAAACCAGCCCAGGCAGGAAAAAGATCCTTGAGACTCTTATCTCCAAGTAGTACCCTGGTTCAATTTGGTAGAACTCTAGACTTGAGCAAAAAGGAGCTGAGGGATAATGCCAAAGCACAGAATTCAAGCCATGACCACCACTACCACCAAAACTAACTTTATAGATGAGGCGCTGGTGGCTCACACCTATAATCCTAGCTACTCAGGAGGCTAAGATCCAAGGATGGCAGTGCAAAGCCAGCCTGGGTAGGAAAGTCTGTGAGACTCTAATCTCCAATTAACCACTAAAAAAGCCCAAAGTGGAGCTGTAATTCAAGTGACAGAGCACTAGCCTTGAGCTGAAAAAACGTTCAGGGACAGGGCCTAGGCCCAGACCCAGAATTCAAACCCAGAACCAGAAAAAATTAAATCAATTAAAATAACTTTTCATAATTTAGAAGTGAAAGTAAAAATACGAGTTCTGGTTTTGAAGTTCTGTCTATGTTAAATAAACAAAGATGAACCAGGTATGGTAACACAGAACTGCTCTTGGCAGCAAGTGGGAGGCTGAGGTAGGAGGGCTTCAAGTTAGAGGCCAGCCTCGGCTATATAGTGAGATCTGGTCTCAAAAAGAAAAGTATACATAAATTTATCTTATGAGATGAGAATAGGCTGGCCTATTCACACTGGCCTCAAGAGGAAAAGAAGCAGTCAGAGAAACTGAGAAAGGAACAGAGAAGGGGAGATCAAGAGAAAATACTGTCAAAACAGTTTTAAAAATGACTATTATGTATATAGTATTTGCCTATCATTTGTGAGGCCTAGGTTCCATGTACGGCACTACAAGCAAGCAAGCAAAGTCAAGAAAAGAATTCTAACAGGATATGCTTACAGGGAAGTGTGCTGGAAGAAAACCCAAGAGCACACACTGTCCTTGGTGAACACAGAGCAAACTGCCACAGATTGCACATGAGAGGCAGTTAAGTGTGACTGCTTTCAAGAGGAAAGGATTTTGTGGCTATGTTATTGTTTGTTGTTGTTCTTGTTTTCCTTTTTTTTTTAAACAGGGTCAAGGCTAAGCTGAGGTAGGGGCCAATTCAGAACAATGAGGAAAAGGCAAAGGGATAAAATTAGTTTCAGAGCTAGGTAAAAAAAAATAGCATTAGTCCTGGCAAGCCATATTAAAATCAAAATGCATATCAGGAAGTAAATGCAGTATACCATATTCATGTCATTCGTGGGAGGGAGTTCTTCAAGACTGAATTTTCCAGATAGATGGTTTTTTGGGGGTTTTTTACTTAATTTTTTTTGTGAACATACTGTACAGAGGGATGGTTTTTTGGTTTTTGTTTTAAATTTTAGCGGCTATCTCTGAGATTGTTCACCACTGTATCTACCCTCCTTAACTCTGTGGGTGTGTTCCTGGAGATATAAAGTCATGGGACTCTGATTTCTGTACAAGGAAGTAATGTAGCTGACTCTGACTATTCAGTTTTTCCAGATCTTTCAATGTCTTACATTGACAGTTGCCATTTCCTGTTATACTTCCCCTGGCAACTTTTGCATTTTGTGATTCGACAATTCTGGTTTGAAAATTACAAAAGACTAATTCCTTATCATAACATTAAATTAGAAGAGTAAAGCACATAGGCTTTATGACAACTATGTTCAATGCTAAGAAATCTGTTTCATTTTGTACTTTAATTCAGCCCAGGTTTTATAATTTAGAATATCAGAAGACTGGGCTGGGAAGGTGGCTCAGTGGTAGAGTGCTTGCCTTGCATGCATGAGGCCCTGGGTTCAATTCCTCAGCACCACATAAACAGAAAAAGCCAGAAGTGACACTATGGCTCAAGTGGTAGAACTCTAGCCTTGAGCTGAAGAGCTGAGGGACAGTGCCCAGGCCCAGAGTTCAGGCCCTACATCCAACAAAACAAACTAACAAAAAAACCCATACTACTAACTAATATGGTGAGAGATGATTATTCTGTATTGTCATACACTTTTTTGGTGGTGGCTCAAGTGGTAGAGCGCTAGCCTTGAGCTGAAGAGCTGAGAGACAGCGCCCAAGCCCAGAGTTCAAGCCCCCAAACCAAAAAAAAAAAAAGAATATCAGAAGATGGATGGACACCAGTGGTTCATTCTTTGTAATCCTAGCTACTCAGGAGGCTGAGACCTGAGACTCCTATTTGAAGCCAGCTGGGACACGAAAGACTGTGAGACTTTTTTCTCCAATTAACCAGCAAAATCCAGAAGTAGAGCTGTTGCTCAAGAAGTGGAGTGCCAGCCTTGAGCCAGTTCAAACCTCTCCTCCCCCAAGTACTGTCACATACAAAAAGGGAAAAAAGTCAGAAGACTGATTTTTTTTTTTTTAAGTCAGTCATGAAGCTTGAACTCTGGGCCTGGGCACTGTCCCTTGGCTCTTCAGCTCAAGGTGAGAGCTCTACCACTTGAGCCATAGCACCACTTCCGGTGTTTCTGGTGGTTTATCTGCAGTAAGAGTCTCCAGGACTTTCCTGCCTGGGCTGGCTTTAAACCACAATCCTCAGATCTCAGCTTCCTGAGTTGCTAGGATTATAGGCGTGAGCCTTCGGCACCAGGCAGACTGATCTTTTACTACCTGAATTGTATCGTCATGTCAAAATATCCCTACAAAATGAACTGATTTTATGATGAGTCTTATGCAAAGAGGGAGAAGAGGAGGAGGAGCCAGATGACTTTCTGGGGCTACAACTCTGTGACAGATCACTTGCCTAGTACATGTGAAGTATGGGTTCAATACCCAGCACCACTAACTGCAAAACCATGTCTCCATAGCTCAAGTAGCTAAATGTATTTCTGCCCTACCATCTCTTACCAATTAGTTATCTTCTCTGTTTTGTTTCATCCTGTGAATAGTCATGTATATTTCACATGTATTCATGTTATCTATAATTAATACATATTGTTCACCAAATCTTGGCTTTACCCTCTTCCAAACACAATTCACAATACAAATGGCACAATGGCTAAGATAGACTGGTTTTACACACAGGCAGCTAACCAAAAGAATTCATCCCTTTGGCTTCAATACCACTGGATTCCTAACTTCATTCATTCTTAAAATTATGGGCCAAAATACCCTCCTATACTTTACATAAAATCAAAAAGAGGAAAAAAGAAAAGAGACAAAACTTTTGTTACTCCACCCCCCCTTTAGTTCCTTTAAGTTTTCATTCACATTAATGAAAATAAAGAAATGTAGACTTGGGCTGAGAATGTGGCTTAGTAGTAGAGTGCTTGCCTAGCATAAAGCCCTAGGTTAGATTCCTCAGTACCACATAAACAGAAAACGTAGGAAGTGGCAATGTGGCTCAAGTGGTAGAGTGCTAACCTTGAGCAAAAAGAAGCTCAGGGACAGTGCCCAGAGCCTGAGTTCAAGTCAAAATAATAATAATAATAATAATGAAAAAAAGAAATGTAGACTTTGTCCAAACAGAAGCATTTCAGTGGACAGCAACTGAAACTGAAAAATGTTCAGGATCAGGCTTAGAGTGCCAGAAGCAGGTACTCTACCCTACTTTGCTCATATACTTGTTAGTTCTGCCCATCAGACTTTCTAAGTCACAAACACCTAGAGGGCAAGCATCTTTTCTGATCAATGACTCCAATCATCAGGACAAGTTAAGTTTTGAGCACATAGTATCTGCTAGGCGCAAGAAAGAGCTGAGTTAAACAGGTTTTTAAAGTAAGGCTAGTAATCAGGTTACAACCGAGGCAAAAGCAGAAGTGGATACAGAGAAAAAGAAAACAAGAAAAAAAGCATGCAAGCCAAGAACCAACCCTTGAGGTTGGAGGCGTGGCTCAGTTGATTGCTAGCCAGTGAGCAAAAGTGGCAGGTACAGAGTTCAAATCCCGGACTGGGACTTAAAAGAAAAGGAAAGTGGGTACCGAATTAAATCACAGCAAGAATTAGGTAGCTCCTGGACTGCAGAAGTCCAGGGATCCAATTTCTATATTCCTCGATAAACCTCAATGAGTACCTGTTGAATGAATTTATGAAGTGAATCTTGCTGAGAAAAAGGTGAAGCCCCAAGTTCAGGTGAGACATCGCTTCGAGAAGCCAGTGGCCAACCCTTACCTTCCAAACTCTGCGAAGTTAACAGGCGGCCCTGTGCAACCTGGGACAGCACCTGCGAGCCAGGACCCTTACCTGTACTGCCAGCCTTTGGCACCGCCGCCGCGGCTGCTGCTGCTGCTGCCGCCGCCGCCCGCGCAGCTGCTGTTGCTGCTGTTCTTGTTCGGAGTCACGGCGGAGGCCAGGCCCTCCAGCTTCCCTTCGCTCTCCGACACTTTCATGGTGGACACCGGCTCGCTCCCCTGCATCCTAACTCCCAGGTGGCGTGCCCACGGGGCGCGGGAGAGAATACCTCTGGGGGGATGGGGTGGAGGATGGCTTTCGGGGAGAGGGGACCAGGGGCTCTCTCTGCCTGGTCTCCTCCTCTTCGGCTCTGGTGGCGATCGATCACGCTACGAGGATCGGCGGCTGCAGCGGGACGCGCCTGCGGTCCAGGAATGGAAGGGGTTATGCATGCCCGCGCGGGTCCAAACTTTCAAGCGAGCAAGGGCAGCGCGGAGGGCGGAAAGCCCGCGGAGAGGTAGCGACCGCCCTCTCGGCAAACGCCCGGAGAAAAGGCAGGGGGGAATCACCCAGAGGAGGAACCGGGGGGACGAGGACGAGGTGGTGGGTTCGCTGGCCAAGGAGCCTGGCGAGGGACGGGGCCGCGGCCTGACCTCGGGGCTCGCTCTTCTCCGACGGCTTCAGCGGAGGCCCCGTCCAGCCCGCTCGGCGGTTCCTGCCGCCGCCCGAGACCCGGCCGGGGCCGACGCGCGGAGCCCGGAGCAGGGCTGGGGGCCTGAGGCGGCGCGCGGAGCCCGGGGCAGGGCCGCGGGGGCGCGCCGCCGGCTCGCAGGGCCACCTGTCCTCCGGTCGTCGGCGAGCCGTTCAGGGAGACCTCCTCCAGCTCCCCCCAGGCCTGGTCCTCGGCTGGGGCCCCCTCGGAGCGGGCCAACCCACCCCCGAGCCCTCCCGCTCTCTCCGGTTCCAAACGTAAATGCCAGGGCCGCGGCCACCGCCCCACCCACAGCCCCACGGCGGGTCACTCTCTCGCTCTCGCTCCCCCGCCTTCCCTTCCGGAGTAGTGTGAGCTCACTTCCTCCAGTACCGAAGTCTCAGACGCCATCTTTGATGAGGGCCACTGGGCCATCTAGGGGGCGGTACCTCTGGGAGTGGGCGGGGTCCGGGGCTGGCAGGAGAAGAAGAGAGCCGCGGAATCCGGCGAACCCGAAGAGCTGCTGAGCAGGAAGGAGGAAGGAAATGACTGGTTGAGTCTTGGCCTCGAGGAGTGCGACTTCGGCTTTCGTCACCAAGTCCTAGCTTTCCATTTGAGGAATCATTCCACGCCTTTGAGGAAAGACTTTACAGACAGGATGCCTTGACTTCAGACTCTACTACTGCTAAACACAATAAATACTAAATTAACAAATAAATTCAACCAATCTTTTCTAGCCGGACATACAGAATTCATTTTAATGAGAGAAAAAGAGGAAGGAGAGAGACTGGTTAGGCAGCTATTATACAAAGTGAGAGGAGATGATGAGCGAAGTGGTTCCACACTATCTCAGATAAGGCAGCAATACTGCCAATGAATCGAATTTGCACCAGTGCAATAGTTCTTGCAGAGCCTTCCGCTTCCGGTCCAAGGCTGTCACAGATCACAACTCTGATCATGCCCCTTTGAAACTCCAAAGATCTTTGGTTATTTGTATTTATGGATGCTGTTGCAACAGAGGATTGTGATTTAGGATTTAGAGTTATCCTTCACAGTCCAACCCTGAAGAGAAGATCTAATTAGTGGAATCAGCACACCATAGAAATAACCCACCTAGTCTTTGGAGTAATAGAAAGTGAGATGAGGAACATAGCAACTCAAGGTCAAGGACTCAAAAGCTTTAGGGATGCTGAAACTATTTTGTCATTGCTTTCGGTGGTGGGGAGACTTGGGGACTGGCTTATTCTAATCACAACAAACTGATGTAGCTACTGAAAAGACAGTCAAAACTGAAAAATACAAGCTAAAAGGGTCAGGATGGAGGCTTGGCTCAACTAGTAAAGCACCAGCCATGAGCAAGCAAGCAACTAACCAAATGAGAGCATGAGTTCCCAGGTTTAAGCCATGGTACTGGCACCTACCTACACAAACACACAAGAATGGTTGTGTTTGGTGAAGGTGTCCAGGTGTTTGCTGGACAGGTCTGCAGACACACCACCCAATATATTTCTGAAGCCATCAACAAATTTCTATGGGAGGCCAACTTTGTCTTCCAAATAAAATGAAGCTTCTAGCCATGTCATCTGAAGGTATCTATATAAATTGATATTGCTGGAAATCACCAGCTTGTAGGTATCAGTGAACATGCAGGTATACAGGACAATCTCAGCTCCAGAGTTATCTCAATGAGCCTTTCCTGGCCACTCTGTGGAGCAGTAGTCCCTCCATTCCTCCACACTGCGTTAGGTTTTTTTTACTAGTATCTAACCTTTTTTTTTTTTTCCTGTACTAGAGATTGGACCCAGGCCCTCAAACTTCCTAGACTTACCACTCACAGCATCTGACATTAGATGCTTTGTTGGACATTGTCTGAGTAGACAACATGCCTGTTGTGACTTACTGAAAAGGAAGCTCAATAAGGAACAAGTGGATTCTTTCCTTCCACTCTTGTGTCCTCAATACTTCAGTATTGCTTGACACATGTGTTGAGTGATTGGATGAATATGCTATAGTAAGTTAGGAACATATACATTTTGGAGAAATGGAGTTGTAGCTCAGTGGCAGAACACTTGCCTCATATACGTGAGGCTCCAAGTTCAATCCCTAGCACTGATGGCAGGGGCAGGCAAAGTATACACTTTGGTAACAAAATCCTGGCAGTGCCACATTGTGTGTGTGTGTGTGTGTGTGTGTGTGATTTGAGCAGGCTACTTTGATAAGCCTCAGTTTTCCTTAGTAAAACAGAAATAGAATGAGGAACACACATAAAAAATGCTTAGCACAAATTCTGGCATCCAGTTAGCACTGAAAACTGATTAGCTGGCCTTTGTTTTTTCCAGTCCTGGGGCTTGAACTCAGGACCTGGGCACTGTCTCTGAGCTTCTTTTGCTCAAGGCTAGCACTCTACCACTTGAGCCATGGCATCACTTCCAGCCTTTTCTGTTTATGTGATACTGAGGAATCCAACCCAGGGCTTCATACATGCTAGACAAGCACTCTACCACTAATCCACCTTCTCAGACCCTGGCTTTTTTTTTTTTTTTTTTTGGTCAGTCATGGGGCTTGAACTCTGGGCCTGGGCACTGTCCCTCAGCTCTTCAGCTCAAGGCTAGCACTCTACCACTAGAGCCACAACACCACTTCTGGTTTTCTGGCGGTTTATTGGAGATAATAATCTCACAGACTTTTCTGCTTGAACTGGCTTTGAACCACGATCCTCAGATCTCAGCCTCCTGAGTAGCTAGGATTACAGGTGTGAGCCACCAGTGCCCGGCCCTCCATGGCCTTTTTTTTTTTTTTAAGCTGGTCCTAGAGCTTGAATTCAGGGCCTGGGTATTGTCCCTGAGCTTCTTTTGCTCAAGGCTAGCAGTCTACCACTTGGGCCACGGCGCCACTTCTGGCTTTTTCTATTTATGTAGTACTAAGGAGTTGAACCCAGGGCTTTATGCATGCTAAGCAAGCACTCTACCACTAAGCCTCACCAGCCTTCACTTTTATTTTTTAAGTTCTCTTTTAACTCAATGCAGAGGACAGAAGGGAAGGAAAGGGTGGTTTGCTTCCCCAAAGCACAAGAGACCTGCTTTTTCTGAGTCTAAAACATTCAACTAGAATGGAGAGAGGGAGGAAGGGAAAAAGGAAAGACAGAAAGAAAGAAGGAAGGGAATACTCTGGTTTCTCTTCAGGTCATATAAATCTTTCTCCTTTTACTAAAGATTTCCGTGTTAGGAAGTGGAAAGACTTGGAAAAAATTATATTAAGTGAAGTAAGCCAGGCCCAAAGAAACATAGGTCCCATGGTTTCCCTTATTTGCAATAACTAGTATATGTCTGAGACAAGCAGAAATGGTCGGATAAGTTGATGTTAAGCGAAATGAACCCCAAGTTAAGGACTCAAATGTTTTTTCTTTCTTGCTATTGTGTCTATCATATTTATAAGATATTTCTTTGTTGCTTTGTATGTCCCTCCCTCATGGTATAAACCCTGTTTTCACTGTATTTGATGTTAGAATAATTTGTGGAGGGGAAGGGGAAAAACAAATTGTTTAAATAGGGATACAGGTGGACCCACTGCAACAATGAGATGTACAAGATTTTCTGTCGAAAATGAACTTTACAACTTTGGCCAGGCGGGGTGGGGGTGGGGGAATGGGAAGGGATGGGAAGGGGAAACAAAGGAGGAGGAGGCAACAATGCTTGATAAGAAATGTACTTATTACCTTGCCCATGTAATTGTAACCCCTCTGTGTGGTATTTCCACAATTAAAAAAAAGAAAGAAAGAAGGGGGGACAGAGAGGAAATAAAGGAAGGAAGGAAGGACAAAAAGGAAGAGAAAGATGGATGTTCATATTCCTAAAGGAGTCACTGCTATAGTAGAGCAGAGTTTCAATCCATCAGGAGCCTCACACTCCCCTAGCCCTCCCTTCCCAGTGTAGGCAGAAATCTTGTAACAATTTCCTAGCCCAGCTGGGTGATTCAGCTATAGGGATCTAAAATAGCAGCATTGCTGGCTGCTAAGCTTAAAGCTAGTAATGGAAGTAAAACAAAAATAAATACAATTGAGGTACAGTGGGTAAGAACACAGGAGTTGGGTTTGGAGGTACAGCTCAGTTAATAGAGCATTTAGCCAATGAGCAAAAATGGAAGGTATGGGGTTCGAGTTGTGGTCAAGGACCTAAAAAGAGAGAGAGAAAATAAAAAGGAAGAAAGAACATGGAAGTAGCTGCTGTGCTTGCATTTTGATAAATTTCTTGCTACCACTGTTTGCTTTTCCCTGTACCTTTCTCCTGAATCCCCCATGGAGCTTAAAATTATGTCACTTAATACCTTGGAGACAGTAAAATTAGCTCTTTTCAAATTATTATTTTATTGTAAAGATGCTGTCATCTAGCAATAATACAGTTTAAGAGCTACTTGGGGGGTGGGGAATGTAGTTGTAGAAATGGGAGGGAAGGATGGTAGGGGAAAAGCAAAGGAGGAGACAACAATGCTTGATAAGAAATACACTTATTACCTTGCTCATGTAACTGTAACCCCTCCTCTGTACAGTATTCTCACAATAAAAAAACGTATTCTTAAAAAAAAAAAGAGCTAATTGTACCTTTA